TTCTACTTCTACTTCTACTTCTACTTCTACTTCTACTTCTACTTCTACTTCAACTTCACTACTACTACTACTACTACTACTACTACTACTACTACTACTACTACTACGACTACTACTACGACGACTACTACGACGACTACGACGACGATTACCACTACGACTACGACTACGACTACGACGACGACTACTACGACGACGACGACTACTTTTGCTCTTTTAGAAGCCACAAAAAGAGTAGTTCGAGTGAAAAAAAAGAAAACGAGTGCCTGACGACTACTTTCTCGCGTGCTTCCTGGCCCAGCCGCCCTGCCCGCATCTCACGCCTCTTCCTAGGATGCGCTTAATCAGTCCTCGGCCATGGCAGGCTGGGCCGTGAGCACCGGCAGCAGGGCACCTGCCGCGACGGCAGCAGCGCTGGCCTCGGGCGCCGCGCGCGGGGCAGGGGATGGCACGAAGGCGGGGGCCACGAAGAGAGCCGCCAAGGCCAGCAGGACCACAGGGAGGGCACTGGAGTTGCGCGCCATAGTTGCCTGGACAAGGACGGGCAATCGCCTCAAGCATTAAGCTCAGCAAATCAAGCTTCATGACTTCGTGCGTGCCCCAAAGCAGTGCCTCCAACGACGAGCAGCTGGAAGAGCTTGGGGGCAACTTCGCTGAGCCACTAGACGCCCCAATCGCGGATGCAGCTGGGGAAACACGACACGATATCAAACTATCGAGAAGTGTATGCTGAACCTGTCTGCAGAAATAGCGATCAACGGCGCAGCGAATCCGAGAATTGTTTCTCTCGGGCTGTGGCTGGTAACCCTGCTAAAATTAGAGTGGCGTGCTGAGATCGAGCCGCCAGTCTACACAACTCCCCTACCACTCTATACAACAGCTTGTGCTCAGTGCATCTCAGCGCTCTCATCACTTCTTCTCACCAGGGAAGATGAAGTTTCCCGCAACCAGCAACGCGAAAGCTCCCCCGAGAAAGACCACGAGGAAGGGCCAGCTGGGAGGCATCATGTAGTCCTCGCACGATGGTATGTGCCCAGCCGCCTTGCCCGCATCTCACGCCTCTTCCTAGGATCAGTCCTCGGCCATGGCAGGCTGGGCCGTGAGCACCGGCAGCAGGGCACCTGCCGCGACGGCCGCGGCGCTGGCCTTGGGCGGAGCCAGGATTTTGTCATGTCTTGGTTGTGCACGAGTGTCTGTTATGTTTTCGTGCTGCGGTGTGTGGAACATTACCTGGTGTTTCTGACGTTCGTCCTCGTCTGCGTTGGATTCTTGTTGGTATGTGTTTGGGGTTTCTGTTGTCTCTGTCCTTTGTTTACAATCTTCGGGCCTAAGCTATCTCAAGAAAACCCTACTGCCCCCAGAGCAGAACCCGACCCGAGGATTTCAAGCTAGGCATTTTCGGTTGGAGTCTTTAAAACGCGGAATTGAATGTTCAGGGTCTATGTCGAAAGCAGGGCTTTGCAACTTTTTGAAGCTAGCGAATGTGCTTTTGATTGGGGTGTCTACATAAGATAACTAAAGTTAACTGTTTAGGGCTACATAACCAAATCCTGCATGCCAACCGTAAGGCGTCCGGCCAGCCCCGGACACTGAAGCTACCTTTCCCTTCCAGGAGTTAGAAGTTCAGAGCTGGGGGTAGTTGTTAGTACGTGAATCCCTTGTTAGTACGTGAATCCCAGGATACCGAGATACGCTAAAAACTACATGAGTTTCATTCCACTGGTGCTCAAAAGGTATATAAAGAACTGTCAATGTAGAAAGGCTATCATGTGTTGACTGGGCCTGACTGACGGTGTTGGCGTTGCATAGAAGGATTTATAATCTTCCAGCATGATGCCGGATCTCGTGTCATGGTAAGACGAACTATCATAAACATAAAATGATATTCGGTTTTAATGCTGCATTCTGATGACGGCTTTCTATGATGTAGACTCGATGTAGATAGAAGTCCACATGAAACCTTTAGGAGATACGTACTTAGCATGATTCGTATTTAAATAGTGTGAGTTGCCTGCCGAGCCTTGGAGTCTTTCGCTATTTCTTTCTGTCTGTATGCCCTTAGTTTGTTATCTCTGTCTTTATTTCGATTAGCTTGTTCTCTCTGTATTTCAAAATTTATGTGTTGCTTTCTTCCGGGCTTCGCGTCGTTCTTTCTCTCTGTCTTTCTTCCTGTCTTCCTCTGATTGGCTCACCCCTGTTTAGGCTTCGCAGGGAGCGTGAAACAAAAACTGATCCTTGCTTCCGATGTCATTCTTTCTCGAGTTCTTTCTGTATTTCTGTCGTTCATCCTTTTGCTGTGCGCCTTTACCTTCTTCTTTCCCTCAAGCACAACAATGCATGACAGAAAAAGTAACAAACCCTATTAACAAAACGGAACCCACCAGCCTCGGGCGCCGCGCGCGGGGCAGGGGATGGCACGAAGGCGGGGGCCACGAAGAGAGCCGCCAGGGCCAGCAGGACCACGGGGAGGGCACTGGAGCTGCGTGCCATCTTGCCTGGACAAGGACCGACAGTCGCTCTCAGCAGTAAACAGTAGAAAAAAGTGCGTATACAGCTCGGTACGTGTCCCAAAACACTGCCTCGAACAGGCAGCTGGAACAGCTTGAGGGCAACTTCACTGAGCCACTAGCTGCACAAACACCGCACACGTTCAGAGACAGACATGACAATAATTGAGATTGCAACATGTCAAGAACCACTGGGCTCCGTTTGCAAGTGACAGCGACTAGCAAACACAGCGTCGCTAGTTTCTGTCGGGCTGCTTCTGGTAGCCCATCCTAAAAAGTAGAGCGGCTTGCCGAGACTAAGCCCATCTTAAGCAAAGCTCCCCTACCACTCTATACAACAGCTTGTGCTCAGTGCATCTCAGTGCTCCCATCACTTCTTCTCACCAGGGAAGATGAAGTTTCCCGCAACCAGCAACGCGAAAGCTCCCCCGAGAAAGACCACGAGGAAGGGCCAGCTGGGAGGCATCATGTAGTCCTCGCACGATGGCATGTGCCCAGCCGCCTTGCCCGCATCTCACGCCTCTTCCTAGGAGCAGTCCTCGGCCATGGCAGGCTGGGCCGTGAGCACCGGCAGCAGGGCACCTGCCGCGACGGCAGCAGCGCTGGCCTCGGGCGCCCCGCGCGGGGCAGGGGATGGCACGAAGGCGGGGGCCACGAAGAGAGCCGCCAGGGCCAGCAGGACCACGGGGAGGGCACTGGAGCTGCGTGCCATCTTGCCTGAACAATGCCGAACGAGTCTCAAATCCTATGGTTTCTTGGCCAGTCTTTTACGTGGCGCTTATAAGGAGCCTGCCGCGAAGCCAAGACTGATGATGGCAAGCAAGCCTACAAAATCCGACTGAAGCGAGCCAACCACAGTGCAGACCGCGGGCATGCAGCATAAGGCTGTTGTGTTCCCTTCACTACCAGGACAAGTGTTCGCGAGCGATTTAAGTCTTGCGGCAGCGCACAACGCTCAGCAGTGGCAAGTCTCAAGCTTTCCAAGAAGGCTCTGCGGACTGGCTCTGCAAGCCTCAAATGTATCGAATTGCCTTTGGCAACTCCCTCGCATTGCGACCCTACGGCCTGCGATGTTGAAAATGTGTGAGGCGACCCTTAGGCCATGGACGCCGCGGACGCCTGCCGGCCTTGCTCGAGGCGCCAGTTGTCGCGGTGTGAAACGATCAGAAGATCTGAGACAGGACTGTCTGCAAGGTGGCCGGACAGGTCAAGACTTTGGGCATCGTTTCAACTCCTGTCATGCTTTCCTTGCCACCCAGAGCACGAAGTCGCAAAGCAAAGTCGCAATTAAAATACAGCGACCTTCTCGAACCTTGAGTTGGCCGGAAGGTGCCATCGACCAACCCACATTCGCACTGTCAGAGTTCACCCCGTCCCTGCTCCTAAATGTCCCCACCCCAGGCGCCAACAACAATCCCTTTAAAGCAATGGCAAGTCTCTGGGTGGGTCGAAGCCGGTGCTGCTCTTTTGCCTCCCGCCTGCACAGAGCTCTCTCCACATGCACTGGAGAGAAGAGCTACGCATACCTTGCAACCTCACACCCCGTTTAACGCTGTGCATTTCAGCATGAACCGGACCTTCTTACTGCGAGCGTGGTCATATCGCTACTTGTCATCATCAGCTCACCTTAGTTGTGAGATCTAGAGGTGTGGGATCTCTGTCTTTGTCTCGGTCTCTGCCTCAACCGTATCTTTACAGATCAGAGGTACGTGCCTCACCTTTGCTTGCTTTGAGAATCAAAGGTTTGGAGCAGTGTGGCTGATCTGTGCACTGAGTCCCTCTCCCTCGGCCTGCAGGCAGCATCAGCTTGACACTGTCTGCCCGTAGCCACACATGGGCGCACAAGCCTCAAGGGAGCAGGAAAGGCCTCTAGGCATGGCTCAGCATGAAAATGTAGCCGCGAATTTGTGAGTTCTCGCTTTGGGAGGATTCCGTGGCCTTGCATCGTGTGATTGTCCCTTTGAGGCCGCCTTAGGCCGAGACCGCCGTGCGGCCGGCAAAACCTGCAGGAAGCCCGACGTGCCCGCTTCTTGGGCTCTAACTCTGAGTCTAGTGAGTCTAGTGCTCTAAATCCTAAACTAAAAGAATAGGAACGGCAGGGCAGAGAAACCCTCGCTGCAAAACCACTCATCCACAACTACCACTCATTGCAACATCTCGAGTCCGGCGATTTCGGAACAGAGGCCCCAACACTCCGTGATCTGCACGCCGTCCGCTGCATCGCATTGCTGTGCCTTCCCACTTCATACCCAGCACGAGACCAAAGCCGGACATCGACATGAATGTACGGACCAGCCCAGGTGTAAGGCCACACCTCCCCAAACAAAGATCACCCTTCTCGCTTGCAGAGCTGTCGACTCCCGGCCTCCAGGCAACGCCATCGCGGTGCCATGGGGTCGGCTGTGGGGACCTGGATGGGCGAAGCAAGTGTGCTTTGAAGCTGCAAGTGCTTCTGTCAGTGCTGGCGAAAAGCCTCTGACCCGTGACCTCTCCTCCCTCTCCTCGCAGAATCCTGAGGCCGAGGACGGCCCTCTTGGCATTCTCTGCCTGTTGCACTGCGGCCACGCGCGAAGCCAGGCGCTCATACCTGGGAGCTGACTGCTTGAGCCATATGAGAGATCTAGAGAAAAAATGAGAGCAAGAGAGAGAGCCAGAGAGTTTGAGAGGGATAGACCTACGGTAGAAGGAGACAGCAAGGCAGGCACCGAGAGAAAGACAGGGAGACGGAGGGCCAAATACGGGATATCTACACAGCCAATGCGGCACGCAGATACTTTTTGCGTGCTAGCCTACATGCAGGTCCTTGTACATGCACGGACGCCGAACCAAAAGCAGAACAGACATGCACAGACGGGAAGAGGTGTATATACATCTACGCATGTACATCTGCAAATGCATGAAAAGATACGGATGCAGATGCCGATAATTACAGCCTATGCTATACGCGTACATGCATTGACACGCATGCAGATGTGTGCTCGGTGACGCTGCAGGTGAGGCACGTCTTGTCCCATCGCCTCCAGGCCTGCGAAGGGTGATGGACACGCTCGAGACCGTGGGATTTCTCGTCGGACTGGGGCGTTGAAGGGACATGCCAAAAACGGCACGCACGTCATCGAAGATACATCTTTTGTCTGCGGAGTGAGGGCTCTATGCTGTTTGGATCCTCCCAGCTGCACCACAGGGAGGCTCGTAGCCAACGCAGACAAGAACTGCCACAAGGACACACTCCTCTGGCAGAGGTTAACAAGCCCAAGAGAACTGTGTGTCCCACCAGAAGGTGCACAAAGAAAATTTGAATATTCTTGCAGCCCATTGCAGCTCTCAAATGATTCTCACAACGGCTCAAATTCGAACAAATCACGACCTGGTCACGGCATTCGGAAACAGCAACCCCTCCAGCGCGCCTGGAGGTCGCTCTCGCTAGGATGAGAGCGCCAACAAGTCAACTCCTGATGCTTCTGCTTCGGTAGCTGTAGAATTTGGACTCAGCACGACGACTCGAAGTGAGCAGCTTGCATCTACAAGCCATAAGAATAACAAGTGCTGGGAACGGTCTGCCGAAAGTTTCCGCATTAACATCACAGCATCTCCCCAGCTGCATCAAGCGGCCCCAACCACGGACTCTAGGAGGCCGGAGACCAACAGCCTGCATCACTGAACGCAGTGGGAGCACATGGGTGGTTGTCAAAATGATGGTCCCTTTTTGGGTCCTTATTATAATACGGCACCTATTATTTAGGGTACCCCACAAGGGACCATAATTTTGACAACCACCCACATCGAATTGGGGCCTGCTTTGCGTCCGCTCAAGCGACTAGGCCGACCGCATTGGGAGTTGTTGGCGAGGGAGAGAAACCGAATTTCCTTGCCTGGACGAGATCAGGCACCGAGTCAGTCCTGACACTCGCGGTGAGGCAAGGGAGCCCCAGTTGCAGTTGGCGAGAGTGAGGAGGCCGGGAGGTGGTAACGGTTTATGGTGTAGGAATCAGGATCTCAAGAGACCAAATTTCGGACAGTGCTTGTAAGGAAGTGCAGTGGGCCGTGCACCTTGGAGCTATCAGAACCACTGAACAAGACCTCAACCTTGCCGGCACCACCGCCCTTCTCCCGGAAATCCGGCGAGCGTAACGCCTGCCGAATCTGCCGATGACGCGCAAGCGCAGTCAGGTCATCAGCAAAGGCTTCAACGACGAAGCATGGCACATTCCTTGCAACCAAAAGGACGTGTGCACCTGCACCAGCAAGCCACCGTCCACATCCGACGTGAAAGTGCCGGATTTGCCTCGGCGACCTTGCAGGTGCGTTTTGCATCAAAGTGCTCCCAAAACTCCAATGCCCTAAACCCCCGAACGCGAAATAAGGCCGCCGAAACCTGCAAAACAAGGCAACCAGGCGGCCGATCGAATCGAGGAATGCCTCGTCAGACTGCTCGTGCCTCAAAACACAACCAGCTTGTCGCAGCCCGGGGGGTTGGTTTACAATAAGGGCTGCTTGCAGAGTTCTGGCTTACGGCTTTGATGGACTATAGGGCTTCAACAATACAGCTTACTGCACCATTCCTCTAGGTTGCCGTACAAAACGTCGCAACTGGCTTGCTAAGCCTGTGCATGTCAACTCCTACAATCCCTGCACTCCATGGCATCCGTTGAGTAGGCTTACAATCGTCCAGTTCACATGCCTGTTCTAACATGGGGCGCAGCATTCTGGAAGCCAAGGCTTGTGTTCGATTCGCACGCAGAGAATGAGCAAGTCAAGATGGTGCACACGAGAAATAGGAGCGCGGAACACAGACTGAATCATACTGAAACCGATCAGCCCAAGGTCGACACAGGATGGCCAGTTCCGTGATCCGGCGCAGCAGCTCCTCGCACTGTGCGTCGTAGGGCGCAGGCTGGAGCAACCTGCCCAGTCGACAGCTCTTCTGAGTGGAGGCGTCCTCGGCGGTCATGAGCACTTCCTCCGCCGTACTGAGCATGTCCCGCTCACCTTCACCGGCAAGGACACGTCGTTTGAAGAGACGCAGTTACTTTCTATAGGCACTTGTACGACACGCACAGCTGCTTCCAAGGAGATGCAGTGCATACGGTTCGTTGCATGTGATTGTAGAAGACGAACTCGGTTCAACTGCTGTTGCGAGCCCGAAGCATTCTGACTTACCACTCCTAGTGGCAGTTTGGAAATTTCTAGGCATCTTGGGTTTGCACCGTTTGGGGTCAGGATACCTGCCACTGAACCAAACCGAATCTGCATTCCCGGCCGTGTCTGGCGTAGCCATCAAGGCAGTCTCGAAGCATCTCTTCACAAAGCCGGAACTCCCACAGCCTGCAGGCTGTGAAGTTAGGCTTCGCGGCTACGATTCCTGCTTCTGTTTCCGGCACTTCTGCCATTGAAAGAGGATAACTACTGCTTGTACCCAGACAATGCACACAAGAGCAACGCGCTCGCTGTTCAAGAGAGAACTTGCAAGTGGAAACTTTTGTCTCCTCAATGACATCTCAGATGGCACTTCTGATTCTGATTCTGATGGGACATGTGAGCATTCGGTCTCTCCGCCCAACCAGCAACGCTCTCGCAGGTGGCACTGGCACAACTTACTTAACATCTTAGCAACCGACTAAGTTTAAGAGCGTCATCAAGCCGACTCTGAAAAATCCCCTGCAAAGCGAAACATCAAAAAGGCTCCTGCCTGTCTACACGGTCAAGGTCTTCCAACTGCTTGGATCGGCGCTCTTCAAGCGTCCGTGCCTGATGCACGGAGATGCAGATCACGCGAACGAGTGTTTGTCTGTGTCTGTGTCTGTGTCTG